AACATATATCTCTGGATTGGAAATGATGATATTGTTAGTACTTCTAGCCGTAAGCTTAAAAGATTATAATGTTCAAAATTATTTGTTATACATTTGCTTAAATTTTTCCCTCTTTTAACACCTGGGATCTAGAGGGAAGAGAAAAGACCAGAGAATGGCCAAAATTATTGGGGCAGCTATTGCTGCCAGTTTAGGGCCTGTATTTTGTGTTTTAATTCAAATTTTCTTCCTAGTGCATAGCAAATAGTCATTGATGAAAATAATTCTTTTTAGGTGGTATTTAACCTCACTAAATCTTTTTTCTCTTTTGTCTTTTTTTCCCCTTTTGTTTAGGTGGGCCATAAAACATGAAGGAACTAGTAAACCAGACCAGTGGAAACATTCCAAAGTTGAAAATCCTTTATGGAACAAGCTTAACTATATGTGGCCAGTTCTTCCCAGTGGCCAAATTAATGAGGTTGTAACACCCTAAAATTTTTCTTTTTGGTGTTTTTATTTAAGGTTTTGGAGGCAGACACACAATCAGATTTTGGCAAATTTACTCAGGATAAAATCCAGTGTCCTCAATATGCGTTTGTTTTTTGGCCTTCCAAATATGTATTGCTAGATGTATAATACATTCTGAAAAAATTAGAAATGTCTTTTTCTTAGCTATTAACATGGAGGGTCAGTCAACATGCCCATATTGGCTATTTTGTGATTTCATTCACATTTGTTTGTTTACCCTTAAATCACTATGCCCTGTGACTCCTCACCAATCCAATCAATGAGTTTCAATGCTTTAGGAGCAAGATAAAGCAGGGAGTTTAGAGCTCCAAAGATGCCTTCTATTTAGACTTCAGTGAAGCAATCTAGAAGGCTAAACTATTTTGAAGACATTCTTTAAAATACTGGAAGCTTTTGAATTGTGGTGTTGGCAAAAAATATTCAATATACACACCACAGATTTATAAAATAACAAATTCATTTTTATAGAAGTGCAGCCAGAATTTCCGCAGAAGTCAGATGGTGAGACTTCATCTCATACTCTGTGCATGTTTTCATAGGGTACTAGTCCCTGGAAAAAGGTATCATGTTTGCTAAATTTTGTGGCAACCCTATGAATAACAGATCTAAACTCTATTCTATCTCGTACCAGCCTCACAATCTCCAACATACTCAAGCCCATTGCTGCAATCACTGTTCTCTTTCCATCCGGTTGAAGGACTTCCTCTCTTTTGCCAATCCTCCATCTTTCCAAGCATGATGTCCTTCAAGGAAGAGACTTGTGTAACAGTATGCCCAAAGTATGTGAGATGAAGCTTCATCATCTTTGCCTCCAAGGAGCAAGCACTCTGGCTGCACTTTCTCCAAAACATACCTGTTCTATCGGCCATCTATTCAATCTCCAGCATTCTTTTCCAACACCACAGTTCAAAGGCGTCAATTTCCTGACCCTCCATCATCTTTATTCATTGGCAGCTCTCAGATGTATAGAAGGTGACTGAAAAGACAATTGCCTGAATTAGCGACACTCTAGTCCTCTGATGTCACTGCTCCTCAATAATTAAGACAGGTCCCTGACTACATACTTTCTTAATACAGTAGATCTCCTGATCTCCTGACCGCTGATACCAAGGCTATTTATTGTGGATTCAAGTAAGATGAAGTAATTGACAGTTTCAATCTTTTCCCCATTTCTCATGATATTGCCTATCAGTCCAGTTTGCTGAGAATTTTTTCTGTCTTGACATTGAGATATAATCCAAAATGAAGGTTATATAATTTGATTTTCTGCAGCAAGTGCTTCAAGTCCTCCTCACTTTCAGCAAGCAGGTACATAGACAGAGTACATAGATAACAAGTATGTAGACAGAGAATTGCCAGAAGTTCAAGCTGGATTTAGAAGAGGCTATGGTATCAGATGGATTCTGGTTTAAAACAAGGAATATCAGAAAAAAAAAGTCTGTTTGTGCTTTATTGACCATGCAAAGACTTTTGATTCTGTGGATCAAAACAAATTAAGACTAACATTGAGAAGAATGAGGATTCTAGGACACTTAATTTTGCTCATGCGAAATCTGTACCTAGACAAAGAGGCTGTTATACAAACAGAGAAATGAAACACTACATGGTTTAAAATTAAAAAATATGTGTATCAGGATTATATCCTTTCTCCAGACGTATTCAGTCTGTATCTTGAACAAATAATTTAATAACCTGTATTCTATTAAGAAGAATGTGGCATCAAGATAAGAGGAAGACTCCTGAGTAACCTACACTATGCAGATAGTAGTATAGAGTGTTGAGAAATAAAAAAAACCAAAAAACAACAAAACACCTTCAAAAAGATGGATTCGCAACAGTGATTTCAAAGGAAGTACAAATTCAGGGTACAAATTGTAGGGAAAGGCTTGCTTTCTCTCTGTGTTGGTTTTGGAGGAAAATCCTTGTTTATTTAACATCTGCAGGCCCAGCAGCATTACTTGAAGATCTCATGTGTTTTGGTGTTCTCTTATGTCAAGAGGCTTCCCTGAAGAAAGACACTTAACTTCTGGAACTTATTTCCTTGGTGTACTGATTTCACCCAATGATAGCTAACTAGTTTCCTTTTTTAAGTCATGTGAGATAAAAGGTATTACAGGTCATACCCTAAGGAAACTTCTTTTTCACCCAGTTAAGGCTGTGATTACGTTAAAGAGTTTTGCCTTCCAGCTTTACTCCTTTTACAATGATTTGGTTTATGAGATTATTGTTATTCGTGACAGAGATTCCATATTATATCAACAGAGACATATCTTTTTTTTGAGACATATCTTTTTTAAGAACAGTTTAGTCCATGACAACTGTGTTTATAGTACATGTAAATATATATGAAGAAATATTATCTACCAAGAATATATAGCTGTTTCTTGAAGTGTTAGAGAAAAAGAAGAAAATATTTATCAAGCTGGGAGCTTAGATTGTTCTCATACAGTTAAATAAAATATACTTCACTGAAGGACTGTATCCATCTTATATGAGGGAAGCATATGTTCTTCCATTTTCATTATAGCATAATTGGTATTTTAGCAAAAGAGAATAATTTATTTCGGTGTATAATTTTGAGGCTTATTACCAAGAAGACAAAGATTCTCACTACTGGGCCATTGGAAGCATCAGGATGGATGGTGAAGAGATTGAGATTGTTAACAACTTTAGTCTGCTTGGCTCCACAGAAATTAAAAGACATATTGTGATGGGAAAGTCTGCTGTTAGGGACCTCCCCAAAGTACTGAAGTGCAATGGTGTCACTAAGGTGCACCTTTGAAATCACTTGCTATACATCAGAGAACTGGATAGCATAGAAAGACAATTGATGCCTTTGAGCTGTGGTGTTGGAGAAGAGTATTGAATATACCATGGACTGCTAAGAAAGTGAACAGGTTCATCCTGGAGAGGGCTAAACCAGGCTGCTCCTTGAAGGTGGATTCTGGAGCTTCATCTGACATAGTTCAGAAATGTTACAAGGAGTGACCAGTCCTTGGAGAAGGACATCATGCTTGGGGGGGTGGAGGGACATGGAGTACAGGAAGACCCTCTATGAGGTGGATTGCTTCAGTGGCTGGGGTAATTGGGGTAGGTGTGTCGGAGACAGTGAGATTGGCACAGGATAGAGCAGAGTTTAGGGCTGTTGTACATCGGGTCGCTATGAGTCAAAGGTGGCTCGACAGCACATAACAACAACAACAAAAACAAATAATTAATATCACATGTAAGCAAGATTCTGCTGAATTATCAAAAAATAACTGGAATAGCACATCAACAGAGAACTACAAGATATGTAACTTGGCTTTAAAAAAGGCCAAGTAATGAGGATATTATAGCTAATATTAGATGGGTCTTGGGTGAAAGCAGCGAGTACCAGAGGAAAGTCTATCTTTGTGTTTCATTGACTATGCGAAGACATTTGACTGTGTAAAACACAACAAACTATGGCTGACTCTGAGAAGAATGGGTGTCTCAGAACATTTGATTGTGCTTATGTGAAACCTATACTTGGACCAGGAGGCAGTCGTCAGAACAGAGCAAGGAAACACTGCATGGTTCAAAATCAGGAAGGGTGTACAGCAGGGATGTGTCCTATCTCCGTACTTTTAAATCTATATTCAGAACAGATCATTCAGAAAACCGGACTCTATGAGGAGGAATGTGGCATCAGGATTGGAGGAAAATTCATCAACAACCTGTGTTATGAAGAGGACACAGTCCTGCTTTCTGAAACTGAGGAAGACCTGAAGCACTTGCTGCAGAAGATTAAGGATTGCAGCAAAGATTCTCACAACTGGCTGATTGACAGCATTATGATAGATTGTAAGGAGATTGAGATTGTTACCTGCTTTAGTTTGCTTGACTCCACAATCAACACTCTTGGTAACAGCAGCCAGGAAATCAAAAGACGAATTGCACTGGGTAAGTCTGCTGTCAGGGACCTCTCCAGAGTTCTGAAGAGCAACGATGTCAGTCTGGAGAGTAAGGTGCACCTGATCCAGGCCATAGCCTTTGCAATTGCTTGCTATGCATCAGAAAGCTGGACTATAACTAGGGATGATAGAAGGATAATTGATGCCTTTGAGCTGGGGTACTGGAGATAAGTATTGGATATACCAGGCACTGCTAGGAGAATAAATAGGTTCATACCAAAGATGGTGAGACCAGGCTGCTCTTTGGAGGCAAGGATTCTAAAACTCCAGTGTGACATACTTTGGTCATGTTGCAAGGAGGGACCAGTCCTTGGAGAGGGACTTGGGAAGGTAGAGGGAAAGCACAAGAAAGGAAGACCTTCAATGAGGTGGATTGACCCAGAGGCTGGGGTAATCACGATAGGTGTGTCAGAGAAAGTAAGATTGGCTCAGGATAGAGCAGAGTTCAGAGATATTGTATTTAGGGTTGCTATGAGTTTCAGGTGACCCGATGGAACATAACAACAACAATCCTCTGATAAATCTGAAAACATAGAGAAAATGAATAAATCCTTGATACTCACACCCTGCACAGACTGACATAGATGTAGAACACTTGCAGAGATCCATCACAATAATAGATATTGAGCAGGTCATAAAAAGATTGCCCCCAAAAAAGTCCTGACCCCAGGTACCTTCGTGGCTAAATTCTACCAAATATTTAGAGATGAACTATCACCAATTCTACTTATTTTTGTTTTTTTTTAAAAAAAAGGAAGGAACATTCCTAAAGTCATTCTATGAAGCAGGTATAACCCTAATACCCAAACCAGGCAAAGACATTACCAAAAAAAGAAAACTACAGACAAGTGTATTTTTTTACACTTTGCTCAGAAGTCTTCAACTCTATGAGGGCATACATCATACACTCAGTTGCTTAAGCTACACACCTGGGAGCCTTTCCTCCCTTCCCTAAATTCCGTGTTTTATTAATCCTCAAATCTGACACTTACTTTACACACATTGGCTGTAGTTTCTGTCCATTGCTCTGCAAGCCCCTGCTAAGGCTCCAGGTCTCAGTTTAGGGGGCATTTCTGAGTTATACTCTCCTCCTACATGTTCTCATCAGTTGTTGTATTTAACCCTGTTACTGGTACACTTACACTATTGTAATTGATAATCTTTTTCCTAGGTAGATTTATGAGGTTGTGAGGACTTCCTGGTAAATCTTTGTGGGGCTGTATTCCCATTTCTAGTTCCTAGCTGGTGCCTGGAATGTAGTAAATGGCAGTCATTCATGAGTGATTACCAATGGTCTCTTAGCTCTACAAAATTTTTAAAATGTGCTGTTTGTATCTTTAACTACCTCATTCTGATATTTAGTATTTCCCCAAAGATATTTTTCTTTGGAAAATAGATCTAGTTTAAGGTAGTATCATTTCAGCATATTGTAAAACTACATTCATGCTTTCTTTCTCCTTTTGCGTTGTTTAAAGATACGTTGCACATGAACAAAAGCCATTCCAAGTTAATTCTGTTCTTTTCTGGAATGATATTTCTCTGAAAGGGAATACATCAACCATGTTTTAACACAGAATGGGTTGTCACAAGAGTTTTAAAAATCTTCTTTCCTCTTTATTAAAACATTCATTAGGAACAGATGAAACATCTTTTGTGTCAAATGTATGGTTTTGTTGAATAAATAAAAGATTAAAGATATAAATAATAAGTTTAAAATGATCTTTAAATCTAGCGGTGGTCTTTCTTAATTATTTGTTGTCACATGTTTTTCTCATCCTTTCTGAAGGATTTTGACTGGCCCCTTGAAGGATCGCTCATTCCCAACAGTCCTCCCATGAAGAGACCCATCTGTAAGACGCCTGAGCAGCCCGTCCCAGTGAGGCACAGAGTTTTGCAAAATGGAGACAAGAATAAAGACAGAGCTCTTCTTATAATTGGGCCAGATAGCTCACTTAGGCAGAAAGCACAGTAAGAATAACTTTTTCCTGTTTCTCATTAAACACTTTCTAGGGAGCTCTGGTGGCTTCATGGTATAGAGTTGTGCTGCCAACCCAAAGGCAGGCAGTTGGAATCCCCCCATTGCTCCTTGGGAGAAAGATGGACAATCCCCTGCTGTACGATTTGCAGCCTCTGTAACTCACTCAAGAGCACGTAACAACAAAGAGTCTATAGATTTTGTCCTCCTGTTCAGAGAAGTTTGCTGGGGGACTTCATTATGTTTATTTGTCAACCTCCCGTAGTGGTATTTGGTGACAAGAGCTATTAGGATTTATTTAGTTGTCTTTCAAGAGTTTCATCTGGACTTTGTTCAACTGGGTAAGCACAGGAGACTATAATGAGTTTGAAATTAATTCTTATTTTTTTAAAGAAGTTATAGGATCTATTATGTTCATTTTGAGTTAGTGTTTCTTTTGTTTTGGCTTTATTATAAAACCTTGAAATAATTGAACTTATATAAATTGCTTCATAAATAGGATTTGGTAAACATTCATTTATATTCTTCTTAAGTGCAATTATTTGATGCTGTTTCAACCTGTGGAATACTTGACCAAATACATTTATTGAAAATACAAATTTATGTCATTTGCATTCCTGCCTTACAATACCATCTTAAAACTTTTTCATCCTAGAAATGCATTTACCTATGCTTTACGTTACAATATTGGGACAAAAATCTTCCCATACAGTTAATAATGTTTCTTCAACATTGGAGAAAAATCACCTGCTACATTTTCATTACATTTATGGAGAAAAGAATCATAGATCATTGAAAAATTCTGATGCAGAGAATGAGTTAAACACATTGTTTCTCATATTATTAGCAGTGGTATTACCTCTTGACCTTTCTCTTGAGAAGGTTAGAATATTTGAGGCTGTGATAATAGTTTAATATTACTTTCTTCACATTGATTAAATAGACTTCATACATCACTGAACAATGAGTCACATTCAGATCGGGTGTCCACTGAACTGCCTGTTAAAATGATAAAGTAAAAAATTAATCTTCAAAGTAAAGTCAAGCCTGAAATTGAAATCTTTGACGCATACATTTCGTAATTAGCTCATTCTGCTACATGTAAAATGTGAGGGTAATGCACTTAAAGTACTATATGTTTTACATTCAGAGTTAACAAATAATTCTTATTCTTTCTTAAGTTTGTTTTTTCTGTATATTTAATTGTGGATCCAAATTTATATACAGACTATCACATTAAGATTATTGAAAACCATGGAAATATTTTTCAAATGCTTAGTTCAAACAGGTAATGAAAACATCTTTTGAGAGATTTTTTAGAAACGTGAACAGGAGAGAATGAAGACTCTCCTGTCTGCTGTGATATAGGGAGCATGTCCTCATTAATCAAATAATCAGGTCATTATAGAATAAATTGTTCACTATGGGAATTAAGCATTCCAAAATAATTATAATATATTGGCATACACTTGACTAAAGCATACTCACTACAGTTTCGGTTTTCTTTCCTACTTCTGCAAGTGTTCTATAGGATCAACAATAGTCTTAATTTTTAAGAACGTAGGGAACTTTTCTAGCCTGGAATGTAGGAAATTGCACTACTAACCTAATGTCACATCTCTCTGGTAGTTTGAATTCATCAGCCTGCTCAGCCTCCAAAACCCAGTGGAGGATCAGCTGTGATTTCGTTTTAACTTGATGGACATTGAGTTGAGTTATTTGTAAGTACAGATTAATGGAAGGCCTAAAAGGAACAATTTTTTCCACTCACATTTTGAGGTAGCTTATGTTACATAGCTCCACAGGACACCTTCATACAAGGTGGTTGTCCTGCTGTGTACTTTGTATGTCAAAGAATCTGAGGAACTTATTGCCATTATATTAGAAGTTACTTACAGCTGACACTCTAGCAGGTTTGCAGAGGTTATAAATCACACGAAATGTTGCCTGTCCTGCTGTGAAGGCATTGGTGGATTTGAATCATCAGCTTCATCACCTTTGGGTTAAAAGCACCAACTTGCTACTCACCAGGCTACTTTATTTTCCAGAAGAAATACAGGTCAAGATACACTTTTTTTCATTAATCTGAAATTTATAAAAGGAAAGATAATTTGTCCCTTTGGGGATTTTACCAAAAAAGGGAAAAAATCCTACCAAACAAACAAAAAAACCCCCAACATGCCAGAATAATTTAGATGCATTATTAATCCTTTTCATAGCATGCTGTCATTTAGCTACTTAATATTTCTTTCTTGGTAGTTTTAATTTTTGTTGTTGATGATTTTTACAGAAAACCAAAGAAAAATCAAATAGTGTTTGTCCCTTGTTTGTTTAGCAATTCTCTGTTAAATAATCATATCTTGTGAAAGGATCTACTCTGTCACATAAGCTCACTATGAATATCAATCAACTGGACATAGTTGCAATACTAGTAACAACAATACATTTTTATAATGCTTGTTAAATCCATATAAATTTATACAAGCCTGACATTTCTTGTGAATTTAATTTCTCAGAGTCCTAAGAGAAAAAAGGAAAATATGTAAAAGTGATACTTTTAAGGAACAGTAAGAAGAAATCTTCACATAGAGCTGTGACATAAACTTTTGTGTTTAATTAGTCATAAAATATGTATGTATGTGTTTTGTGTTGCTGTCAAGTTGGTTCTAACTCATAGCAATCTTTGTCAGGTTTCTGAGGCTGTTACATCATTATGGGAGGAGTCAGCTCACCTTTCTCTTGCAGACTGTTTTGGTGGGCTTGAACTGCTGACCTTATGGTTAGCTGATAAGTATATATACTTAGATATAGTGGTAGATATACTACACCACCAGGGCTCCCTTTATGTACTAGTAGGCTATAATCCTTCAGTTTATTTAAAATTCTTAATACAGACTTTAAGACTTTATATGTCCTGCTTATTTCTTGAGTTCTATCTCTTATTATTAACACACATCTCGTTTCCCACTCTTAAACCCCCTCTCTGACTGCCAGCACCTCTTATGCACCTTAATCCTAAAGGCCTTTTGGGAATTAGTTTAGACTTCATTTCTAGAGGTTTAGCTTAACTTCTCACCTGCACTAGCTATGTAGTTCTTTGACCCACCAGCATAGCATGCCCTACTCTGTTTGTAATTATCTGCTTGTGTCTCTAATTCATATGAGATAGAAAACCACAAATATGCATTAGTCTTTCACACATACACTATCTGCTATGGTATTGTCAAGGAACAGTGTGTACTGATTAAACCAATATTAAGGTATTAGGAAATTACTTTTCTTGTCATGTTATTTAAGGCCCACAATTGGCCTAAATCAGTTTGTTAATTGCATGAATAAATTAATGTATAAATATATTTGATCACGGTTTCTTTTTTTTTAACAGATTTATTTACAAAGTTCGAATACATTTGTTTTTCACATAAGATCCTTCCATTTTCCTTCATCCTCCTCACCCATTGAATTGTGCAACTCTATGACTAATAACCCCCTGCCCATCCTCACCCCTCTGCTTCCATCCATTCCCACCCCTTTTGGATCCTCATACTCATACTACAATAATGGTTTTTATGGTATTTGTCCTTGTGGGACTGAGTTAGTTCACTCAGCATAATGCTTTCCAGTCCCTCCCAAGTCAGGTAGTAGTTTACAAAATTATTGTTCTATGTGCTGCATAGTATTCCATTGTATAAATGTACCAACGTCTCAGTCCATTAGATTGTGGTTGGACGTCTGGGCTGTCCATATGTTTTTGTGATGATGAATAACACTGCTGTGAACATTGATGTACAAGTCTGATCACTGTTTCTAATGAATCAATTAGTAATTAGATTTCATTCCTATTTCTTTTATATAATAAAATACAAACATTCTACAAATGCATAGAATAGTTATTGAACTTGAAAATCTGAATATGCCAGTGAAAAATTCATTTTACTATGACAATTATTAATAATTTTTCAGATTAAAAATGTTTAAGTATGGGTTGATAGTGGAAAATACACTTTAATAAAATGTGATAGAGGAAATAAAAGTAATCTGTGTTTGTTCAAGTTGATAAAGTTACATTTCATAGTATTCTATCTAATTGAAAGACAATTAAAACATTAAAAATTATTTTCTGATAAGATTCTCAGTAATATAAGATTTTTACTATAGATTTTAATAAGATTATTTTATAATGTTTAATACATAATTATATTTATGAAACCATGTTTTTTAAAGAGACAGATACATTTAGAGAAAATCCATGATAAAACAAAACCTTGAAAAAATAATTGAGAATGTATACTGACAAATCACTTAAACTTTGGAATATTTGTTTCAGAAATATTGACACTGAAAGGAAGAAGAATATGAGAATCTATGCCACTAAATATTCTGAAAAGGAAACAAACCAGACACAATTTCATCAATTTTTGGAGAGGTACATATTGAATATGCTGAATAAGTGGGTATTTTCTATTCAAATGCCTTATTTATTATTATTTATAAAGCATAACACAAAATACTTAACTACATAAGAAAACTTGTTAACACCATGATTCTAGGATTTTTAATCTGTGAATTATATTAACTATGTGAGAGTCCTAATGGTATAAAGTAGATCTGCAATCCCAAGGTAAGACTAGCTGTTCCATTATGGGTCAGTTCCAACTCAACAGCACACAATAACAAAATGTGAGAGTTCATGATATTAAGGCTGATTAGTAAAAAAATATTTTTTTAGATATCACAATCTGACAACCTTCAACAGCTTTCTGAATTATTAATTCTGTAAATAGAAATTAATTTCATTTTTTTGCCATTCCCTATCACTCCTCCCTGAGAGAGACTTCACCCTGATTCATAAGGAAAAGGGGATGGCGTATTCTCTTAGCTACTTCCTGCTGAAAAG